TCTTATGAAGATCACATTTTAGTTAGAAGGGGACATGGAAAAAGCATAACCAACTAAATCGAAAGATCAAAGAATACTATAGTCATGAAGGATCTAAATTTCAGTATTTCTGGATAACCTTACCGAAACCATAGTGAAATGTGAGTTGATAATCATACAGTTAGCTGACTTCATCACTGAGTGCTAACAATGCCAATCAATACACTGATGCCAATTTAAAGGGGTTTGATATCATGTTCTGTCTTTGTCCTTGTATTATGGGGGCTTGGGGATAAATGACATACTAAAGAAATGAGTGTGTAACAAGAAGTCATATGGAATAGCAAAGTCATAAGATGACAAAGTAGCTATCCAAAATAAATTCAATAGAATCAAACCAGGCAGTTAATTTTACACGAAAATTATGTGAGTAACCAGTCATCAGGAAATTGCAAATTAAACAAAGGAGATAATAACACTACACACATCTTTAAAATGGCTAAAATTGAAAGGACTTAACTAGTGCTGGAGAAGATATGTAAAACTAGAACTCATACCTTACAAGTAAGAATATAAATAGTACAGCCACTTTGGAAAATTATTTGGCAGTATGTTCTAAGCAAAATGTATGTTTACTCCAGGACGCAACAATTCCAGTCCTGAGGATATAACCACCAGATATGAGTGCCCGTTTCCAAAAGATATGCACTAGAATATATACTGGAATATTCTGCGTATATGACCACAAGAATATGAGTGCCTGTTTCCAAAAGATATGTACTAGAATCATTCTGTAGTATGAATTATATCACAATTTATTTATTCGTTCAACTGGCTTTTAAAAACTTATTTTTAAAAGCAGAATGAGGAAAGCATGGAATTGGGAAGAAGTAAACTCCCCTCACCAAAAAAAAAAAAAAAAGGAAAAAAGAAAAGCTAATATTTCTCTCTCTTCCTCTCCCCATCTCCCCATCTCCCCCTTCAGATGAAGAAACTAAAGTTCAGAGAATTAACTTGTGGGAAATTCTCATGGAACTGAGATAAGACCCCAGACTTCCAATGTCTGACACACCAAAAGTACCAAGCTCATGTTAATATACTAGATTTCGGCAAGTCTTCTTGAAAATTCTATACAAGACATGCCGCTCTTCATATCAGCCCTTACATCCACCTAACTGACATGTGCTCCTGTTACTACAGATGAACTGCCCAAGCTCCTGGGTGGTCCTGGTTAACATGCTGCCCTGGCATAGTTACCAATGGTACCCTCATTTCATGTTCAAATACACCCTGGTCCAGATCGGATTCTGCCTTACTCAACTATATGGACAAATGTCACAGACGCACACATGAGAATTGGAATTAACACAACTATATTTATATGAAGTCCAAAATAGGCAAAATTAATCTACAGTGATAGAGATCAGAATAGCGGTAACTGTTAGGGAGACTGAAACCACCTTTTGGGGTGGTAGAAAAATTCTCTTTGTTGATCTGGGTGGTGGCCAAATGGATGTTTATGTGTGTAGAAATTCTATGAGCAGTACACTTCAGATTAGTGCCTGTTACCCTATGTAAAGTATTCCTCATCAAGAAGATTATATACACACATGTATGTGTGTAAATATCCATGTATGTATATGTATATGTGAATACGTTTTAAAACTGCATTTAGATTCAAATAAGCAACTATTGGATAAAGGAGAAGAACCTAAACTGCTATACAAATGAAAATATTAACAGTTGTCTACGTACATGACATGAGTAAATGGCAAGTATAATTAGCTAATGACATCTTAGTATAAATGTGGCGTCAAGAACAAGTCCATTGGGCCTTCTTGGTAGTATTTAGGCCACACCTCAGGTTCTATGCTTATTTCTTTCTGCAAAGCTTTAACATCACAAATTGGTATGCTTCTAGAGAAAAATAACCATATGTTGAACGTCTGAGGCAAGTCTGAAAGAGCTAACTAAGGCTTTTCAGCCTGGGGAGGAAAAAAAGATTCAGAGGGGAACCAGATTTATTCTATATATACTCAGAAGGCTGAAGTAGAATTAATAAGTAGAAGTCGCAAGCAGGTTGATTTTGTTCTACTATAAGGAAGAACTTTCTATATAAAGCTTCCATCGGATTGCCACAAGAGGTAATAAATTGATCAGACAATAACGAGACATATGCCTCTGTATTTAGAGAAGGTACCTTTCTCAGCTACCCAGTTAAATAAGAAGCCCTCTAATATCCCTATTAATTCTGTGATTCCATTATCTTCCCAATCAACGTCAGTTTATATAACAGGAAAATTTGGCAGGAATAAAGGAAATCCACAAGCAGCTTATTCTGTGCAGAAAGTCACTGATCATATCTTTCCACTCAAACAAGAAAGACCTCTGTCCTACGGCTGTAGACTTAATCACCATTCAAAGACTTCATTACTTAGAAGAGCTTTTCAAAGTAGATAAAGCACATTTCTGAGGATGATAAAATAGAAGGAAAGTCTCCTGACAATGATTGACCTAATGGCCCATAATTCAAACTATAACCATCTTTTATAAATTGTTTTCCTCTCTGGTATATTTCCTTGAGCTATATATCATAATGTAGATTATAACTGAGTGAAAGGGCAAAATATGTTTTATTGCTCTCATCATAATTGAGCAGAATGCACTCCTGAATCACTGAAACAATTTACATGTCACTAGCAACGTGTATATATATATATATATGTATATATATGTATCTCATACCTCCATTAACATCGGTTTTAATTGTAATTAATATTTTGCTAATTTAATAAGTAATAGTAGAGCTCTGAGTTGTTTCAACGAACATTTACTTAATTATTAGTGAGGCCAGATACTTGAAAGCATTGAAGGACTGGAAAAAAAAATGCAATAAGCAATCCCCTAATAACCCCATAATGTCCATTTTTCATTGCACAATTTGCACCTGTTTGAGCCATACTGTTTACTGCTTAGACAGGGATCTCCTCTGTCCTAACAAGCCACATGGCTCCACAGGATGGGAAACACACAGCCGGTGCCATTTTTTCTTGACGTTAGGTGGACATTATGCTGTGGTCTTACTGCTTCCTCATTATGCTGCTATACTTTGTCTCAGGACCAATTTTTCCATCCATGGTTATAGTAACAGCGAATGTCATTACCTAGGTCCACAGTGGACAGCACTCCCGTAAAGACTTCAGAAAATGCAATGCATACCAAAGAGAACATCGCTACAAACCAAATTAACAGTGATTGTGTCCATAGATAGGATTGGAGGTAACTTTTTTCTTTTGTTAGTCTGTATTTTCTAATTTTTCAATGGTGAACATGGAGTACTTGTACAAGCTTTTAAAAGTTCTCCTGATGGGAACAGTGACAAGAGGCAGGAATATGAATAGAAAAAAGGAAAAAAAAGATTTTATCTCTAAACTATATTCCCTTTGTTGTTGCTGTTTTCTTTAAAAAAGCAAAGAAACAATTCCCAAAATAGGCTCCATTGATGCATAAACTGCTGGAAGCCACAGATCAAAGTGAAGCAAAGCGTGCAGAAGTGGAGTTCCACAAAGATTTTGGGCTGTATTACTGCTTTTCTCAGGCAGATGGAGGGAAGAGAAGACATGTCCATAATAAACCACTTCAAAGCCAGTGAATATTGGATTTTATGCAAATATTTTTCTATTTCAGTCCTGAAAGGCTTGAGCACCAAGTTCATTGTCTTTCACCAAGAAATACTAACATATAATGGGACAAAAGGCAGGCAGAGAACTCACGAGCACTTTGACCTCATTGTAGGCCACTTAATAATCTTTCTTATTTACATGCTCATATGTAAGTAAGCTTCAAGGGAAGTTACAACTGGGAAAAAAAAAACCAAAAATGGTCAGGGGGTTATCGTCCCTAAGCTATGACAAGGCATTATAGCCCCCAAAGCCTGACCCAAGCAAGATCCAAGGCACATGTGCGCTTCCCCTTGTGAAACACACAAGGTACAGACCCTTCCCCACTCCTTAATCCTTCCCTATGTACTTGCAACCAAGCCAGAATGCTGGGTGAGGGGGCAATTCCAATGAACTTTTGTTCTAGAATAGCAGAAATATCATTTTTTTACTAATGCACACAAGGGCTAATTATTAGGGTGTACCTCTTTTTAAAAATAGAGCTAAAATTACTTTAACTGTAATTACTTCAGTAAAAAATCTGACACCTCAATTCAAAGTTCAAAATGTACATTTAAAAATATTCAGCGTGCTTTTTATAAAGCCATTTAACCTTAGATGTAGCACAAATTACCCTTTTTAAAAAATAGATATTGGAAACATAGACTAATGAAATCAGGAGGGTTCAGATACCTCTAAGAAAATTATATACAGAGGGTGAAAATTTGAAAACAAAAATACCTTTTAGAAAAACTTTAAAAGAAACCTAATTAACAAAATTCCACAAAGATGACCTTCAATTGGGTTGAATTTTCAAAATCTATTAAAGTTGTAAAGTCTATCATATAGACTTTATCATGGGACATCATGTGAGACATTCATCAGGTCCCAGGACTTAAGACATAAAAAATGAAAAAAAGGAAGTATTCCAACCTGCGTCTAGAAGGTTAGGTGGTGAAGTCTTGTAAAGAGAGATGAGGTTCAGGCCAGATGCTGTGGCTTACACCTGTAATCCCAGCACTTTGTGAGGTGAAGGCAGGTGGATCACCTGAGGTCAGGTGTTCAAGACCAGCCTGGCCAACATGATGAAACCCCATCTCTACTAAAAATACAAAAATTAGCAGGGCATGATGGTGCATGCCTGTAATCCCAGCCACTCAGGAAGCTGAGGTGGGAGGATCACTTCAACCCAGGAGGCAGAGGCAGCAGTACACCGAGATCATGCCACTGCACTCCAGCCTGGGTGTCAGAGCCAGACTCTGTCTCAAAAACAACAAAAACAAATAGACGAGGTTCAACAGAGAACCAGCAGACTAGAAAAGACTAGAAATTCAGAGCTTTGCTAGAGGAGAGAAATATGCAGGCCGAGCCAAGGTCTCCGCTGAGCACAGCAGGGCAGGGCGCCTGTGCCTGCAGCAAACACAAAGTGAGCCAGCAAAGTCCAAGGGCAGGAGCTGGAGATGGCTCCCGGCTGGTGCTAGGGCAGCTTCAAGGAAAACCACCCCAGCCGCTGAAGGGTTACATCTGGGCCCACACCTAAACGGACTTTGCTTCTCCAGAAACCTCAGAAGCAGAAGCAAAGAAACAGGTTAGCGGAACCTAACCTGCAGTCCAGCTCTGGAGTGTGGGGGTCAGGAGGAAACAGAGAAGACGAGCTGGGGGGTGCAGAGGCTGGGGTTACCAGTGTGCGCACCCTGGCTTCCCTCAGCTCAGCAGAGGGGGCAAAGCGGGTGCTTCTCAATCACTAACTGCCTCTAAACTAAGGAAGATAAGAAGGAATGCATGTAATCTGTTCCTTAAAATTTCCTTTCATCAATAAAGGCACTGTTGCTCTAAAATCAGCTGAGGCAGATGATTTGTCTGTTTCTCCTCTGCAAGGGTAAACTGCATGAGGGCACAGTGTACGCATGCCTCACAGAGACTCTAGCCAGCAGGGGAGTAGATGCTGATCCACTGAATGAGGGCAGAGGGACCCATGGGTAGAATAAGTCTGTCTCAACAGGGAGTGGAAGGGGTAGACTTCAAATCCCAGGTGGTTTTTCTGGAGGCAAATCCCCTTCAATGCCTGTTAAGGGTAAGCGTTACCCTAAAGCTGCAGCATTGGGAAACCTGCAAGAGAACCTTCTGTTTCTATGAACCTTCTGCCTTGGTGAGTCTATTCAGCCCACAGCTGACATGCGCTAGTCCCCTAAACATGGCAGGCTTGACATTTATCATCACATTTTCAAGTTTTGCAAACCTGCTCCTAAACATGACTTCCCTTTAAACAAAACTACAAAGAACCCTTTTTATTACATATTTTCTTTGATTCTGCCTGCGTTAGCAAGCCAGCAAGAAACGTGGGCAGTGAAGCGCCCTGACGGTAGTGCTGTCCTGCTCCTCCCACATCTCTGTGAGTTGATTCTGTTGCACTGTCGCTTGGGAAGCAAGCCTTGCAGCAGCTACGTGGCCAGCATTAGAATGGAAAGTTCAGTCTCTCTGTAGACCTGCTATTGCTCTACCCTACGACAGCAAAAGGAAGATTATAAAAACACAGGTCAGATCTTGTAAACACTTCTTTGCATAAAACATTTCCCCGGCTTATCACTCTTAGAATTCAATTCAAACTCTGCGTGTCACGACCTCCAAAGCCTTCAACAATCTGTTTCCACCTCTCTTTTCTCTCTCTCCCCATCCAAATAAGCTTGAATATGCTGTCATCCAGGAGAATGGCCTACAACAAAAGACCTCACCATTCTTTCTCTTAATTTACTAATTCTTTTAAAGTTTTCATTGTTCCAAAAACTTTGAACACAGCTTTTAATCACTATGTAATCAACATAACAAAAAATGCAAGCATGCAGTTATTTTGACAAGCTTGGGTGAAAACCTGCGTTTCCAGTCTTGGTTTATGATTACTCTGTCAACATCGCTACCCCTTATTATCAATGCACCTATCATTCTCAGCTTCGAATAATCAAAGGGCCAGAGATGGTCAGAGCTAAGACCTACAGAGTAGACATCAACATTTCCAGAAATATCACTGAGCAAATGTCTGCCCTTAAAAGCCAGGATCGCCCCACAACAGAACAACATCTCCTATTTTAACACAGCACGGCCTCTCCTTGCTCAAAGGCGTTCGGTCTGTAGGATGGTCTGGTTTGGTTTTGAATTGCAGTGTTCACAGTCGGTGCGCAGCTCATAACTGGGTCTTCAAGTGGGCTCGCTGCCCATCCCAGCTGCTGCGTTCTCTCACGGCTGCCAGGAGAGCATTTTGCTGTTTCGGCATTCCAGGAGAGCGTGCAGAAAACACAAACTCCAGGACCTTATAAATCAGGTTTCTTCACATGCTCTCAGTGTGGACACAGCAAGCCTTAAATGCATCACAGTGGAGTTCAAGCTTTAAAATCTCTGGCTGGTGACCAGAGGCCTGGTGAACTCGAAATGCCCATGCTTCTCCTAATGGTAGGTAGAGGAGATGCTTCACCATTTGGAGAGTGAGCTTCATTTATTGTCACCACCATCTCTTCAGGACTTGCTAAGAGCAGCAGACACCTTGTTTGCCAGAATGTAAAAACACTAGAGGTAACAGCAGGAGCAGGCTGTCCTCAGGGCCCAGACAAGTTGGCTTTCTCTCCAGCCTTAGACGCATTCTGTGGTTCTTCAAGATATTAGCACATTTTCCAGGGCCCCTCTCTTTTCAGTTTCAGAGGAAACAGTCAGATACCGTAGGGGAGGCTGGTAAAATGAGTTGTTTAAAGTGTCTACTAGACCCTTTGCCTTCACTTTAAACCCGGCTTATCCACCACCCACCATGCAGCCAGGAATTGACTAAAGGAAGCTGCTGTTCACCAATCTACGTTTGACCTGCTGGCCTTGATCTGCCTCCATTCCACTTCTCCAGGCTCTGACCCCTTAGTCTTAATCTTGCATTCCTTCTCCTGTTGGCCCCAAGATTTCGCCACTGAATTTAATCTCTTCCTCATGGCCTGTCACCATCTCTAGGACACAGTTTATGTTTGCCCCCTCACTCCTCCCCTCCTGATCTATTTGACCAACTCTCCTATTCCTTCCCCATAGTGGTTTCCAGTCCTCCTAACGAGTGGCCCTTGAAGATCAATTCAGAAATAAAGATGTCAACAAAAAGATTTAACTTGCCAGCTCCATCAACCCTGAAAGCGACATCTCCATCCCTTCCTCCCTCCCATTTTCCTGTGTCTTTTGTGCCTGAAAGCCGTATTAGAATCAAAATTATCTCTCCTCTAAACCCAGATTTATTCTGGATGATTGCTCTCTTTCTGTTTTAATACCATAATTCTTCTGCTTGCAGAAGAATGTGAGCTGCCCATTCACTCTCACAAAGGTCGGCATAGCAGCCTCCTTTTCACTTGTTTTTCAACCCAAGGACTTCACACAGCTGTTCCCTTTGCCTGGACTGTTCTTACTTTCCTTCATTCCTGCCTCACTCCAACTCATCCCTCAAGTTTCACTGTGAGCATCCCTAAAACCCTTCCCAATTGCTTATTACACAAGTGTCCATTCCCCTGCTAGCCCGTATTACCACTATAATCTAAATCAAGCTTTTCCAACCCATGGCTCAGGGTGACTTTGAATGTGTGTGGCCTAACACAAACTTGTAAACTTTCTTTAAACATCATGAGGTGGTTTTTTTTTTTTTTTTGGTTTTTGTTTTTTTTTTTTAAAGCTCACCCGTTATCATTAGTGTTAGTGTATTTTATGTGTGGCCCAAGACAATTCTTCTTCTCCCAGTGCAGCCCAGGGAAGCCAAAAGATTGAACACCCCAATTTAAATATTGACTGGTGGAATTACGTGTAGGATGTTGGTAAACTACACCTCTGGGTCAAGGAGGCACGAGCCACTAGACTGTTAAGCACTTAATATGCAGCAAATCCAACTAAGACGTATTATAAGTGCAAAACACATACCAAATTTTGAAGACTTAGTACAATAAAAAGAATGTAAACTATCTCAATAACTTACATTGATTACATGTCATAGTATTTTTAGCTATATTGAGTTAAATAATGTATGTTAGTAAAATTAAGTTTACCTGTTTCTTTTGGCTTTTTAAAATGTATTTACTAGAACGTTCTAAGTTATAATATGCACTCCCATTATATTTCTATTGGACAGGGCTGTTGTAGACCTTAAGCCCCCGGAGGACAAGGCCCTTTTGGCCATGACTATGGTCTCAGCTGCCTTAGCACAGGGCCTGGCACATAGTAACTGGACTGGGGAATATATTTTGAAAGGATAAGTTTTCCTAGGCAACTAGGATTTAAATCTAGGATTCTCGGGCCAGGTGTGGTGGCTCACACCTGAAGCCCCAGCACTTTGGGAGGCCCAGGAGTTTGAGACCAGCCTGGACGACATGGCAAAACCCCATCTCTACAAAAAATACAAAAATTAGCCGGACGTGGTGGCACACATGTGTTGTTCCAGCTACTTGGAAGGCTGAGGTGGGAGCATCACTTGAGTCCAGGAGGCAGAGGCTGCAGTGAGCCAAGATCATATCACTGCACTATGCCAGCCTGGGTGACGGTGAAACACTGTCTCAGAAAAATAAATGAATAAATAAGTCTAGGATTTTACTTTTTAGAAAAGGAGGAACCAAGGATAAACAATAGAGATGGGGGCGTTAGCAGCTCCCCACCCAGCAGTTTGTGCTGTCTGCCTGCCATGATATGGGACAGGATCTAAACTGTCAGGCTCAGACAATTTCTCACTGGCTTAAACTGATAGAATATACATCTGAAAGTAACAACTAGGTTTACCTTTCAAAGTATGGACTATGATGGAACAGAAAATAATAAAAGAATCTACACAGCAAGAAAGGATTTAAGGGTGATTCATTTGATCTAAGCCATTTTCACAAACATGATCTCATGAGTAATAGCTCATTTGCTTTTCCCAATCCTTAGTATCAGAAAATTCCTAACCTGAACTCATTATAAGGCAAAACATTTAACACGTGGGAAAACATTTAAATGTGGGCAAGACTAGAGTGTCTAAAAAGTCGAGTGATGTCCTGAAAGACCATTTTTCTTCCACGTTAGTTGGTTCACTCACATCCACGAATATGACCATCACTGTGAAGTGACTCAGCAATGTCACGTATCTGTATTGCATTACACCAAGTTCCCATGGTTGGCATTAATAGCACATTGCTTGAGGAAGGGAGAAGCCAAGCTGTCCTGTGATCCTGAAGACTAATCCCACAAGAGAGGCACTGGTTAGTCACAGACAAGAGCACAGGGATTAGAAGCTGTTCAGCCAGATGTATCAGGTGACAACTGGAAGAGAGCTGCGGAGAGCTGGGATGCCGAGAAAGCAATCTAACGCCAAGACTCTTCACACAAACATCCACCTCATCTGAAGCATCAAGCACTCCTTACTTGGCAGCATCACTGCCTTCCCCAATAACAATGGGAACAAAAAACATCACTTTAATGAGGTTTACAGAGGCGGAGAAAGCTACCACACCCTCTTTCTTTCCTCCTGTTTCAAAATCCACAGAGCCGAGAGACAACCAGATGGTGTATCCTCAGAAGTGTCACGGTCAGCCTTCAGCTTTCTCAAGAACACAGAAATAGTACTGGGCTAGAAATGAGACGTTGGGATTCCTATCCCTCCTATTAAGCCTTAGTTTGAGAATCATTGAGTTGACATGTGTTATGCCTGTTGTTCTGAGTGTTGCCTTGGGACCCTTCTCACCACAAATGACTTAAACAGCAACAGCCATATGACAGGATACTCAGCTTCCCAGTGGCTGAGGCTCCTTTTGCTCCCAGAAAGTCTTGGAGGAACACAAGACCCAACCGGATGCCTTCGTCTCCATGAGATCTTACCAACCCTACATCTATCTTTCCCCACTTACCCAGTAAGAACTCACACATTTTAGAGTAAAATTAGACAAAGGAAAAAAAACCTCAAAAATTTTTTTAAACAAAGGATAGGGACATATAAAAAGGGCACACAAGCCAAAGGCCCTAAGCAGGAACAGGTTAGCAAAAAAACAAATAATAGTAGTATTGGATTTTAACCCATGGACTAAAATAAATACCTGTAAGTCCATACTGAATAAATAAATGAGTAAACAAATAAATTGGGGAGAAGAGACAGCTCTTCCTTACAGAAAAATTTCAATTAATGAAAGTAGAACAGGGAAATAGAAAACAGCCATTAGAATACCACAATAATAATTACTGCAGGCAAGATCCACAGATAGATGCTAAAATTAATGGGCTGAAGGTTGAGGAGAAACAGGATATTTGTAATGTCTCAAAATATATCTCCCAAGGTATTTATAAATTTTAAAAGGGAAATAGTAACTTTCCAGAAACTGAGCAGATACCACCTTAACTAAGAGATCGTGGCTAACAGCACCAGTAATAAGATACACTGATGGCTGGGCGTGATTGCTCATGCCTGTAATCCCAGCAGTTTGGGAGGCAGAGGCGGGAGGATCAGAAGGTCAGGAGATCAAGACCATCCTGGCCAACATGGTGACACCCCATCTCCACTAAAATACAAAAAAAATTAGCTGAGCATGGTGATGCGTACCTGTAGTCCCAGCTACTGGTGAGGCTGAAGCAGGGGAATCACTTGAACCTGGGAGTGTAGATTGCTGTGAGCCAAGATCACACCACTGCACTCCAGCCTGGTGATAGAGCAAGACTCTGTCTCAAATAAATAAATAAACAAACAAAATAAAATACACTGATGTCAGGAATCCCATGTTAGACGCACTGAGAAGAGCACTGACATTACTTTGGTTGAAATGTAATTTTTTTTTTTTTTTTTTTTTTTACCAAAAATACAGAACCTCAATCTACTCACAAGAAAACATCCCAAATAGAGGGGCATTCTACAAAATATTTGACCAGTACTTTTCAAAAGTGTCAAGGTCATGAAACACAAGGAAGGCCTGAGGAGCTGTCACGGATCGGAGCAGATTAAGGAGATAACCAAACGAGGTGTGGGCTCCTGAACTGGCTCATGGAACAAAAACACAGTACTAGGGAAAACTGGTGAAATCCAAAGAGTCAATAGTTAGTTGACAGTATTGCACTGACATTCATTTTTTAGCATTGAAAATTGTACTGTTGTTGTCTACGATGGTAACAGCTGGAGAATCTGGGAGAAGAGTATACGGGAACTCTATATACTGGCAAATTTTATGCAAATCAGAAATCATTCCAATTAAAAAGTTCAAAAATGGAAGTTAAAAATTTGAAGGAAGGTTGAATCCTAAAATTAAAAGTGGCAGAAGATATTAAAAATGTGAAAGACCAACATATTCAACTAAATTCCATTTCAAGGAGATAAGGAGTTCACAGCAGAAGGTAAATCAATGCACTGCTTCCTTCACTGAGAAAGTCTTGTATGAACAAAACATCAGGCAAATTAAACAGCATGTCTAGTGACCCAGTTGATGTACATTCTGACACAAACTTCTAATCTCCTCATAGACTAGTAACAGATTGCAGATAGTCACAGGAACGTATACCACACCTGAGTAGCACTGTTGTAGATCACTATAAGGTATTTGGCTTGTATGTAGTGGGGTAGGGAGTCCACTGGAGAGTTCTGAACCAAAGAATAATTGATCTGACTTATATTTTAATAGAATCACTCTAACTCCTGCATTGAAAAGCGCTGATGCTCCTGAAGCGGCAGGTCATATTAAAAAAAAAACACTGATGACTTGATGACTTGGACCACAGCTGGATATAGTGGAGATGGTGTGAGGTGACTGGATTCTAGAAATATTTTGAAGCCAGAGTCAATAGAATTTCCTGACAGGTTGAATGGGTAAGAGACAGAAAAAACGTCAAGAATGACACCAAAGTTTTGGACATTGCAACTGGAAGGATGGATAAAGTTGCTGTTCATTGAGATGGAAAGACTTGGAGCAGGTATGGAGAGAAAGATAAGGAACTTGCTTCTGAACATGTAAAGTCTGAAATGCATATTCGACACCTAAGAGGAGATATCAAGTAGATAGTTGGACATAAGCGTCTGCAGTTCAGGAACTTATTCTAACACCCTTCCTGCTTCCCAATACTCCAGCCCCTTCAGACCAGACCTAGGTCTAATTAAGTTATTTCTT